CCCCCCCCCCCCCCCCCCCCAAAAAAAAAAGTGCACATAAAAACCGAAAACCGAAAAACGAAAACTGAAAGCTGAAAACTGAAAGCAAACCCGCAACATTTTCGAGCTGCTGTCATTGTTGTTGTTGAACATCTTTGTTGCCGCTGTTACAATGCTTAAAGGCAAATTGTTTTGCCATACCTACATGAACACACACGCTCACACACACACGCACACACACAGACACGTGCGCACACACAAAGAATATACAAAACACTGCCTGTAAATTGTATGCAACACGCTCAAATTGAAATTTGACTACACGAGACTCATACCACATTTTTTCCACCTTCTCGCTTTCTCTCTTTCCGCTCTGCCCGCACAGTGCCACGTCGCTGCCGCCATGGTGGCCGCCTCAACATCCTTTGGCTACCACTCTGTCAACCAGCTGGACCGCAACCTCATGTGACGTCAGCCCAGCAGCTGCAGCACTTGCAGCGGCAGCAGCAACTGTGGCGCCGGTGTCGGCTCCGGCTCCGGCTCGGGCGCCCGCAACTCTCATCAATACCATTCGTCGGCGGCGGCCACGCCCTCATCTTCGCAGCGCTCGTGCACGCGCTGCCAGAGCTTCCACCGGCACCACCATCGCTCCAGGCGCCGCAGCTCAGGCATGCAGCTGCGCGGCGACTACAACTCGACGTCGGCGGTGAACAGCGCCGCCAAAACGCTGGTCACCATCACAGCGCCACCGGCGGCGGCTGCCTCGGCCAGCTCGCTACATCTGGGCAGGCCCACATCGATGTCCACGCTGACGCTGGCCTCGGGGCCGACGTCGCTGCTGCTGGACGCTACGTTGGGTGATGGTGGCATAAAGGCTGGATCCGTTAGCGCTGCCAATACCCCAGTTGCACCACCAGCAGCAGCTGCCAAACACACCAGCTTTGCTCTGACGCCCACCATAATGGGCGCATCACAGTCGCAGTTGCAGTCGCAGTCGCAGTCGGGCTCGGGTCACCATGTCTCGTTTATGCCCTTGCCGTTACCCATGATGGGCATCAAGCGTTTGCGCGACTCCAACTCCAACTCGTCGCTTAGCTCACCAGCTGCGGCAGCGGCTACGACCAAGTCTATGGCGACCGGCTCGGCACCGTCTCTGGTAGAGGCTGCCGAGTCGCCGAGCGAGAGGAAACACACAGTGCTGGAGATGCGCCAGAGCGTGCAGAGCCAGATTACCACGCTGGAGGATGTGGACGATGAGCTGGAGAGCGAGGACAATACCGACAGCGACAGCGTGGGCGTGGCTCTGGTGCAGACAACGCCGCAGCTGGAGTACCAGGCGGGCATCGGCTCGAGCTCCTCGAGCACCTCGATAAAGTAACCGTATTAGTGATAAGATCTGCATAGTTATACGTGTCTATTGAGCTAATAACTTGACGATCTCGGTGTGCCCCACCAGGGGCGAATACGTGTTTTAGTTTATTGCATAAGTAGTTAAACATAGCCGTCATATCTTAGCTCTTCCATTGATAGAATATATGTTTGTCCTAAGCACCTTTCTTCATGCATCTTGTAAATGCTCCTCCTCTCATCTTCCACTTGACTCTACCTGAACGCTATGGCCCCAGCCTGTCCTCGTACCTGACACGCTCGCCCTCTTTCCCTCTCTTGCCAGTTGAACTTGAAGCCTTAAAGTATATCACTCCCATTTCATACTCTACAATATTACGGGTGCAAAAGAATTTAAGCCTACCAAATAACCAATCGTATAGCTAAAGGCCAGGTTGATGCACAATTTTGTACGTAACTTGAGTTACCTGTCGCAATCGGGTTTCCTCAATCAGGCCAGTTAAACATGTCTAAATGTGATGTCTACTACTACTATATTGTCTACTRCTATAGGACACAAGAGATTACATAAACACAGATTAAATGGATATAAAACACAAAGTTCAACTTAAGCAGAAATAGGATAAAATCATCACCGCACGGTCAAAGTTCATAAAATGGGTATTCGCTTATCATAAGTAGCCGAAGTTATTCGCATCTTCATCCAAGCTCCAAGCGGCAAGAAATAAAAATAAAATAAATACATTTATATTAAATAATTATTAGAATAAGTTAGCTGACATAAGTGAGCTGCTCGCAGCATATAAATTTAGTTAAGATAACTGTACTCACAGTCTAAGCTAGCTATAGTGGTTTCAGTTATATTTGACTCTTCGGTTGGCCGTTATCAAACAGCGTAACATTTTCTAAACTGGTTGCAGAGGCAAACTAAGTAAACACTGAATACAACACCAATAGTTGAATAAAGCGCGGATCATGGACAGATTAAGCATACTTAATATATAGCAAACATAGGCATACATACATACCATTACAGACATACATGTATAGACGTACGAATTGGGTACCCATTCTCTATGCTCTAAAAATAATACAAACATTTAGAAAGGCAACTGCATTCCAATGCACTAAGCGGATTTACATAAAAAAAACATGCTCATTGTTTAAAAAACAGAAAAAAAAGAAAAACAAAAACAAAAATCACAAAAAATAAATGAAAACTAAATATTAGCCAATATAAAAAATAACAAAAGGCAATTATCAATATTCAATATGTATAGCTCACAGAGTAATTTATCTACTATGTATACATGCATACATATATATGAATATCTGACTAAATGTGTATGTGTGTGCGTTCCTTGACTAAAGCTAGGTGTAAATTTAAGCCTAAGTAGGTCTCTAACTGTGTATATGTATATGTATGTGTGTACAATTAATTTATTTAGCCATTAAGCGCTGCCTCGAAGAGCTACAAACAGAGACAGAGAAAGACAGAATGAGAGAGAGAGAGAGATAGAGTGAGAGTGGGAAGCCATCTGATGAATGCGCAGCAATAAGAATTTATTGAAAATTCCATAAGTGAATAATTACCCAAAGACCCAAAGCATTAACTAGCTACATACGTCCACGATAGATTGGCACAAATCTAATAAATACAATTGACAGATCCAACCATTCGATTTAAGCAGCTATAGCATATTTGTATTCCATATGTATTTACGTCTACGTATCTATGTATCTGAACTTGTGTGTATTCAAATTAAAACAAACAAACAAACAAAAATACTGAAACAGTAATCGAAAACTGAGTAGAAATTATTTAAATTTCAGCTAAAGCGATTCTTTTGTGTGCGCTGCAACGCGGAATGCAGCACTCGATGGACACGCCGTGAAATGATGAAGAAGAAGACAAAGAAGAAGAAGAAGAAGAAGAAGTAGAGTAAACAATCATACAGTGGCCAAGAGTGCAACGAGAGGCGAAGGCCAAACTACAGACGTAAACTTTACAGTTTGCAGTTAACATTGTGGCGTCCTGTTCGTCTGGTGGGTGGTGGGTGGTGGTTGGTGGTTGGTGGGGTGAGCAATAGAGTTGCAATTGCAAGTGGTACGCCAGCCACTCGTGGATTGCATTGTGCAGCTGTCGCTCAAGCAGAGACTCAGTCCGTCAGTCAGTCAGTCCGTCAGTCAGCTGAGATGTGGGCTTGGGGTGCAAGATGAATGCAGTCAGCAAAGCGCGAAATGCAAACAACGCATCTAAAACAACGGGCAACAACCAATGGGCAAGAGGGAAGGGCCGCGAGGCGAGGCGGGAGGCAAACGCTAACCGAAAACAGCTGCCGGAATTCCCTATTATGCTGAGCTACATAAAATGTAAGCTGAGCTGTAGTGCGTGCCCCAACGAAAATGGGGTCGCATCGCCAACATTGTGGGGACAAATCGCGCAACGTGCATCAACTGGCTAATGAGAATATAAGCCGAGCAACGAGTAGCAGCAACCCACAAACTATTCAGCTCCACGCACTAATCATCCGTCCACAAAAGCCGGCCAAAGTTGAAACAGATTCGACCAGAATAACACAGTGGACAGCCAGACGGCCGAGTGAATTAAGGGGCGCTGCTTCATTTGAGCTTGTGGCAACTCTTGAAACGGGGCCAACGGCGTTCAGCTCTTCAAATTTGCTGCACAGTGTAATAGTTGCGAGCAGAGCCTGGGCATTGTCCTTGTTGTAATCAGCCAAATAACGACTGTCAAAATGGCGGATAAGCGTAGAACTAATAAAAAAGAAACGCTGCATAAGCGCAGGGGACAGGGGGAGGCGATAAAATCGCCAACTGCAGAGATCTTCAGCGAGGGACAGAGAGAGGGAGTGAGATAGAGAGAGAGGGAGACGTAGATAGCGTTAGCTTAGGAGTGAACAACTTATCACCCGAGCGGAATTTGAAGCAGCGACGAACCCTCGACAAACATTTTATTAGCTTGCTGGTTGGTAATTTTTTGCCTTCTTTCTTTTGTTGCTCCTTTTGTTGGGTTGGTTAATGAACCGAGACGCGTGCTTGTCCCTGGATTTCGGCTATGCCATTGGACGGGTGGACGGGTTCGCTGCGCTTTTTCAGCTGCTCAGCGAATTTGTTTGCCAATATATAAGGCCAGAGCAATCATTGTTCTGATGACTTTGTTGCTGTTGGCTTTGGCCAAATGCGCGGCCGTAATTCTCCAGTCCCTCGGGCCATGTGCGGGTATTGGTTAGGGGTTGGGGATTTGCCATGTGCTCAGCGCAAAAACCAATAATAGACGTGTTTAATGTGTTTAATTGCGAGTTCGAATCGTCTGCGAGAGAGCGAACTCTCATCGTTCAAACTGACCTTAGCTTTTTCTTTAAACTAATCTGCTTACAGCACCATAGACCCTAGTCTCTGATATCGGAACTCTTATAGCTCTAAGGCCTTACCCTCATCTAGCGACGCCTGGTCGTGATTTAATTTACGTTGCTACCATCTCTTATCTTCTCCATTTCTGCCGTAGGTGGCAATGGATGCATGTGCTTTTGACAGTTTGTTTAGCTCGGGCTGTAGACATTTCTCAAACAAGTCTCAAATAATTGAAATAGGTCTTGCTCCCATCATGTTTATTATTATAAATGTTTTCTAGCCGCCAGCGCAGAGCAATCAGGATAAATTTTATTCACAAAGTTGGCCTGCTCGAGTGACTGTTATTGCTTTCAATTGAGCTGCATTCAGCAGCCGCAACGAGGCAAAGGACTCACGACTATTTAAGGACTCTTGGCAAGCAGTATAATAAGTTAACCCAAATACAAATAAATTTCAGACATTGATGACAGTTTCAAAAGAAGATGCAATATAAAATTATGAATTTATATTTTGCTAAATTTATTATTTATATAAAAAAAAATTAAGGAAATGCATTTTATCGATTTCCTTTCACATTTCTTTTTAGAATTCAAACAGCCTGAACTAACATGAAAATGCTGTTAGAGTCTAGGATGATTGAAGCTGAATCGAATTGAATATGCATGTTGCCAAAGTGGGGCGGAGTCTGTGTGAGGGAGTGCAACGCCGATTCCCTTTAGGGCCATTTAAGAGACGTTAATTAAATCAATATAGCGCTCGTTTTAAACAATTTCGTGCTGAGGCATCGCATAAAAATGCTAAATAAATTGATGAACTGCGTCCAATGCGCAAACACAAAAGACGGCCAAGGAGTTATTGTTGGCGGTTGTGTTGTGCTCTGCTCTGTTGCTCTGTTGTTGCTCTGTTGTTGCTGTTTTGTGTCCTCGTCGTAAAGGGAAAGCATGCTGTAAAATTCTATCGACCCGTTCATTGAGGCCATTGAGGGGAGTGAGCACAAGAGATGATGCTGTTGCTGGTGAGCCCACAAAGCGGGACTTGCACTTGGCCCTCGCCTGGATGGCGGGGGCCTAAATTGTATAAATATAAACGACATTAAAGCGCGTCTGGAAATAAAACAAACAGCAAGTCGAACTCAGTGAACTGTGCCCGGCCGCGCGTCACGTTGCAGCTTCCCCCTGGCGCTAGTCTGGCCGGCATTAAGTTGGCATTGCCACGATGCCAGAATGCTAGGATGCCAGGATGCCAGGATGCCAGGCTGCCGTTGACTACTGCCAGCTGCCTGCTGCCTGCTGCCTATCCCCCCTCTCTCTGGGCCAATTGAGGCGCAGCCATTTTGTGTGCTATACGCCGATTTTCCATATCTATACACAATATATACAACAATGCGCTGCTATTTTCGTTGGTTGCCTTCGCCGTTTGAATTGTGGCTGGGAACCTTGGCTTATATTTAACAGTTTATAAATATAAACGCCCACCGCAACGTTATTAGAAGTCATTCGAATGATTACCAAATCGAACAGCTCGACGTGCAAATACCAGGTCAGATCTCTTTAAGAGCTAATGAAGTTAAAATACACTTACGAAATACACTTACAAATTGGGGCTCTTATAAATATCAGTTTGAAGAGCATAACAATTTCAGTGTGAATATCCAATACCTTGATGAGCTACATTTTGATAAAACGCTAATAAGTTACGTGATTTTTGAGAAAATGTGGGTACTTAAGGTTAGAGTATGTATTGAAGAGAGTATTAGGCTCATCAGCCCCTTTATTAAAATGTTGAAAATTGTTGAGTTGTTATTGTTGTGGGAGTTGGCCATTTTTTTTATTTATTATTTTTATTCTATTTTATTTTTATATTTTTGGGACTGCTGCGATGGCAACACATTGTTCTAAATATCACGCACGCAATTTTCAATTGAAGCGTGAACTTTACTTTGCGTCAGTGAGCAATTCTCACAGCTTCAAGCTGCTGTTGATAGAGATATAAGCTTATAAGGTCTGGCCTGGCCAGCGGGATGGCAGCAGGTATAGGGTCATCGGGGTATCGAGGAGCAGGGGGCTGCATCTGTTGAGGCGTCGACGCAGCGAGCCAAATAAATGACATCAGTGGATTATCGCCAACATCAGGACAAACACAAACATGCGCCATTTCCTTCTGCCTTCTGCAATATATGTATAAAATTGAAAATAAAAAGAAAACAGCAACAACAGAGCGTAATATACAGATAAACGCACATACATGGGCAGAGGGTATAAGTGTGTGAGTGTGTGCGTGTGCGTGTGTGAGAGGCAGCGAAACAAAAGCATGAAATATCACAGGGAGCAGCTCGCCAAAGTGTCGATGGCTGGAGTGGGCGGTGAGGGGTTTGGGGCACCAGCACGTAAATATGCGTTATCCTTGAGCTGACCTTGGCTGGGAGCGAGCCCAGACCAGTTTATTTGCCTCGACATTTTTGTCCGTGCTTTGTGTTGAATAACTTCACGCAAACACAAGCACACACACATACACACACATACACACTTGCACACACTCACACACACTTTGGATGAGGAAGCGCTTGTTCATGAGTGCAAGTACAAATTACAGGCTCATTCCGCTTGCCAAACGGCAAACAGCAGCTGTAGCAACGGCCGGCATCCAGTCAAAGCGACCACCCGCTGTTGCACTGGCCTCCCATGGTAATCACGTCCATGTCCTGGTCTCATGCCAGCAGCAGCGGCAGCAGCATCAAAAACAACAACGGAAACAAAGGGCAGCCACAGCATTTAGCAGCGACATTGACACTGCGACTCCCGATTGCTCGTAGAGCTCTCCGCTTTGATGGCGAATTGCATGTCTTAGCTTTAATGCCTTAATAAATCCGAGCGACGAACGAAAATGAATATGAAAATAAAGTCGGAAAGCCAAATGCAGGAATAAATAAAAAATGAAAGCGCACACATATTCACTCTTACATAAAGTGATTTTGGATTGGAAATTGAATTAAATGAAGTACAGTTAAATGCATTCTATGAGAGCGCTGTTGCGCTGCAATAAAAATAAATGAAGTGACTTTTATATGTCACAGGTAAATGAAAGCAGGGGCGGGGCAGCCTGGGGCGGGATTAAGGGTCATGGGAAGGGTAAGAGCGATGTGTACATTGAGAACTTTTCCTCTTTAGAATTTCGCAGACTGTCGATCCAGCCAGCGCAGTGAAATCAAAGCAAAAGTTAAACAATAGAATGGAATGGAAAGTTAGCGGGCTTGGTGGTAAAAAGGGTAAATTTATTTTCGATTTTTCTCTCTTTGGCTAAATGAGGTACCGAGCACGCATTAATAGAAAGTTTTCATGTCGAAAAGTTTACCACTCAATAAAAAAGTTCGTTTGCTAGCGAATGAAATTCGTTGCCTCATCAAACCAACTTGACGAATGACAAACGGCAAACGACGAACGACAAATGGCAAATGGCAAATGACAATTGACATAACTGTGCCATCAAACAATCCACATACGCTGCTAAGCCCATATCGGCTAAACATAGAACATCAACTCAAATAGAAGTCATGCAATTTAAATGCGAATATATATATATAGTATGTATGTATATGTTGGAAAGCAATTAATTTGAAAAGTTTGTATATCATAAAAAGAGAGTTTCGAAACGATATGGTGTAATTTCCTTTACTCGGCGAACCGAAATGCTGAAATATATTACAAATGTTTATGCATACATACATACATACATACATACATACATATATACAAGTGTGTCTATGCATATGCATTAGATTTAGTAAGGGGGTTCGAATTCGAGCTTAAATGTTTTTAAATAAAATCAATTCATTAAAAGTTGCTGCGCACATTTCGCGCTCCTCTTTCTGCTCTGAACTCTCGTAATCCCCTTGGCGTTTGCATTCCTTAAAAAAGGCGCCGAAGGATAAAAATGTTAATTCAAAGTGAATTTAATCTACCTAAATGCCACGCTAGTTGCACTGCAATCGAATTAAAGGCAATCACATCAACTTCACTCAAATATTTATTGCAAATTCAATTTAAGACAATTAAATTATGTTTCATACGACTTTCAACAGCCCCTGAGGGTAATTCGAATAAATATTAATACTCATCGTGAGAGCGTGAGATGTTTCCAGGATTAAAATATTTGCATTTGCTTAGAGGCATAAGTTACATTTCTCATTATCATTAATTAGACATTAGAGCCCCAGAGCAAAAACTTTTCACGCTCAGCGAAAATGCAGTGGGTGGCCCCTGCTCTGTCAAACCCGATAAACTTCTGCATCAAAATCTAAGTTTTCGCGATGAGCCTCATGTGAGTTCATGAGACTTGTGTGCGCGGGTGCATTAACGTGTGGCATGTGAGCAACTGTAATTAAATTGAGTTGAACACTTTCAAATTAATGTCAGAGAAGATGTGAGAGCACTGTGGGTCCTATGTGATTTGCCCATAAGACTGTGAGAATCGCTCAATATATGGTACTTAAATGATATAGCCATAAAACGTATCCTTAAGGCTTATTTAAAGGGGCAAGACAAGACGGAGAAAAGAGTTTAATTAGGCCCTAGCCGGGCTGGACTAGAATTTGCACAGCCAACGTCCACAGTCTCCTGCCACCAGGATAACATCTTGTGAATTTTAAGTGGGGCCAACTGAAGCTGGCTGCTGCAGCAAGAAGCGTTTAATGAAACGCGCAGCTCGCTCCCAGCTTGAGTGTGCCCCCTGGTCATAAGCGTTTTCATTCGTTTATTTATGAGATAAACTTTTGATTTGTTATGGCTGAAGAGGTTGCGGCCAAGCCTCGCTCGTTGCCAGAAACCAAAAATTTTATTACGCAAATAGTATTAGGGAGGAGAAACAGCTCAGGCTGCCTCCTGCATCCTCACAGACCAATAAACTGAATATAAAATGCGATGTTCGCTTGTGGCCAACGATGGCTTCTTTTATTTTCAGTGTTTTCTCAATGCTCTCATTGCCACATCTTGAGAATCGCAAGAAAACTTTTAGCAAAAGGAGAAGAAAAGAGCTATGCCGTGCTTGTATATTATAATATGATAATGTATGAATATATACTATATATACAAATTTAATCTTTGCTGAGATGGCTTCTAAGAAATTTATATTTATAAACAATTTACAATTTCTCTCTCTCTTTTTATACTCACACATGAAAACCAGAGTTAATGTGAAATAGTATAATTCCAGTAACGTCATCTGATATATTTGATGGTATTTTATTTGCAATAAACAAAGTTTTTATATTAAAGATTGAACAATGCTTCCATTGCGAATAAAGTGTTATATAGTATTAACAAGAAAAATATTTGTGCTGAAAGAAAGAGACTCAAATAAATGAAAAATATTATGGGAAAGTTTTTGCAATAATTTTTATAGATATTTCTATGGTCTACTGTTGTAATATTATTACTGCCAATTCAAATGAAAAATGGAGAAAAGAAAATAGAGAAAAAGGACGAAAATGCATTCAGATTGCTACATTTCAATGTTCAATTGAAGTTGATTGAGTCAGAACATAGCCGTACCGCCACAAGAAGTTTCATAGGAAATGAAAATAAAAGAGGGAATATTTAACTAGGCGACTAAGGACACCTGTTTGCTTCTGTGTGTTTATCAAGCATCTGGAAGTAGCCTTGCGCACAGTCTGGTTGTTCTCTTAGTTGGAAATGAATTCATATCTGCAGTAGCAGCATCCGAATTTCAATGTTGCTATCGCCCAACTGTTGAGTGGGTTGTATTTATTTGTTGAACAATGTCTCGCTGACACAGTGGCCATTAGTAGTCTATCGCAACGCTAATGGAGCTGACAAAGCGGCGACATCCGAAGACATTCCCAGAAGAACATTTGCAGCAAGTGCTACCAGGAAAAATAAGATTAAACATGGGCCATGAGTTTTTTCTACGCAAATTGCTAATTGAAATGCAGCCAGACGTCTGATAGTGGGCGTGGTTCGATGGGGGAGGGGGAGCTGAACTAAAATAGGCTTCCCCATAGCAGCTACGACTAATCAATTTAAAAGTTTTCAGTAACGCAAAAGTTTTGTAGCAAACTCTTCTCTACTTTCAAGTTTGCTGAACTAAATCTTGAGCGTTAGTTTAACGTTATGTACACGACTAATGGGAAAACTGACATTGCTGAGGAAATTCGGGCTGAGTTGCTCGGTGGCCGGCTGCTGGCGCATTCCCAAGCGCACGTAAGGCAGAAGAGAGGAGACCGTGAAATAAAAATGGGCAAAGCAAACCTCAGAGCAGACAACAAGCTATGACAGCCAACAGAACAGAACAGAACAGAACAGAACACAACAGCTGAACGACAAAGCAGTTGTTCTGCATTTCCGTTTCCGGTTTTTGCTGCCGACATGGCGCGTATGTCGTGCGTTCATAAAGTAGGTAAGCACGACAGCTGCTGCCACTGCTCATGAGCAGCTTATGTAATAGAATACTAGGTGGCATGCCGTGGAGCTGCTATTACTAAATATGTTCATAAATTAAAAAAAAAGAAAAATGAAAAATGGAAAAGTTTTGCGCTGGAAATATTGCGCGAAAGCAATTAGTCTGGCGCCCAGGGCCGCTGAGCATCGTATTGCAATTAACGTTCCAAAAAGCGAGCACCACAAAAACAATACAGCCCCAAATGGGCAGCATTGGCAACTTTAGATAGCCACCAAATCCGACGGCCCACTCAGCCCACTCGAATGCCAGCCAGTCAACAGAACGCGATGAGTTATGAGCCATTGCCGCGCATTCGACGCCTACATTCAGCCAGAGCTCTACATT